CCGGCAAATACGCCGCACTGGGATTTACACCGCAGAAGTCAGAAAAAATAGAAGGAGTGGGGGTAATTTTCCCGCAACTATACTCCGTTATGTGCCTTTATGTTATATTAGTTGTGTTATTTCAGCTTCTTATTGTTAATATTAATGAATTTATTGTGAGTTTGTCACTGTAATATAAGTAACGCCATTATATATTATAATCTAAAATAATTAATGTAGGACGTGTAAAAGACATAGCGGTTATTTCGTGATATATACGTGTAGTGGAATAGTAAAGCATGTTGTGTAGCAAAATACAAGTACTTTGCTTTTGTATTCTTTGTTTATTTTGTTATCTTGTATATCTCACCTATTTGGGATATACGGCATTTTTAGCGAGCGGGATTTATGCCCAAAGCATACAAAATGCGCAGATTGAACTCAGTGCACTAAATGCAATAAACGCATTATATTATATGAAATATGTACCGCATGTCATAACACTTGTAATATATGTAGGAAGGTTATAATTATTATTTGTTACTTTATATACATATTTACCATTCTTATTCCTTAATAAAACTTTATAAACACATTTTATAAGTTACTGTATCATTATACGTCTTATTAATATGCATTATTTATAAATTTTTTCTGAGCCGTACATACTCCCCCCCCCCTGAATAGCCATATATCCCACTTCTGTGGGATATACGGCAAAAATGCAAAGATTTCAAAAAGTTTATTTTTTAATATGAAAAATAAATATTTCGGATTTCTAATATTTTTTTCATAGTAGCAGGCAGTACAAAGTTTTTACTGATATAGTTCGTTTACTACAAACATAGTAAATAATACTTAATAAATTAAGTTTTTAATAGGTGCGGCGTATATATCGGTGTATATGCTCTACATATTCAATATATCTAAAAAGATATATAATAATTATAAAATGTGTACGATTACATAAAAGATATTTCTTTTATAAAAGAGCATTCCTATATGTAGAGAAAATACCGCTGATATACTGACATACCATTTTGTTTTTAGATAATATTTCTTAAATAAAAAGTAAAAATAAAACTTTAAAAACATAAGTACAAACTAAAAAATGTCTTTTATCAGACAGTATAAACAGTTTTTATAATACTGTTTGTGATTTTGCAATAATTAATTTTTTTCATAAGATAAACAAAAATGAATATCTGACTAAATTGGATCCAAAATTGTAGACAGTAATGCTACGTAATCCTATTCTTTTTTTTTTACAGAAATTATCTGTATAAAGTATCTATAAGTGAACGTATATAAGATTTTTTAGAATCTTTTTATTTCGTTATAAAACATTTTTATTGAATTATATACATATAGTATTTACTTTATGCTGTTCTGTAAGATGCAAATATGTAACGATGATAGTTTTTCAAGACTTTTTCCACATATGCACGATTATCTTCAGCTCCAATAGAACTATTTGACAGTATAAAGCAACATTATAAGGATTAAGTTAGTTCATGATCTGTTTTACGGACAGGTGTGACAGTTTACGCTGCATTCCAATTTTAAATTTATCGTATTATGAAAAAACTAAGAGGAAAAATAATATAAATAGAATTGATTTAGGAAACTACAAGCATTTAAAACGACGTAATATTACCAATAATATAGTCACTATTATTTAAACTACGCAATTTGCAAAAGAAAATCGTAAGAATTTTATTTTCGCATTCGTAGAATTCATTTTTAGCTGATTTGATATATAACAAGCCATAAATATACGAATTATAAGTGTATACTTCTTTAATTAGCTAAACAGAACATGATTTTATTGGTATTAATAAAGTGCAAAGTTAATTTCTAAAAAATAAGGGAGTGTCGCTTTAGAAGACCTATGTCGATACGGATAACCTTCCTCTATATTTTTTCTCTCATTGATTTTGATGATGAAATCTTATGTGTGTGTGTGTGTGAATCAATCTATTGATACCTACAGAGAACTGCTTAGATATAAGCAACTAAACACAGCAATTACTTGAGGAAATGGTGTTTCTCGTATCGTGTGAGAGTTGTGCTATTTTGTACGCTTGTTTGCTTAGTGTCATTATGCGACCTGGTCCCAGAACACAAATAATTGGTTTTTTTTTTTTTTTTTGGTGGGATCCAGGCGCCCGTAACAAGGGGACCACCTCCTATTCCTTGCGGGAAACTCGACGCCACGGTGAAGAGAGAAGGACGAACGACGTGCTTTACGTGGCACCTGCGTAGGTGTTAACCATCAGAGTGTCACCTCGCCGACCGGGCGGGTTTCACGCACCGAATACGGAACGGATTAGGTTCTGACTGTCTGCCAACTTTTTCACGCAATGTACTAGCCGTTGTTCACGACCAGTACGTGAAAACGGTCAGGCCATTGTGCAAGTTTTAATTTCTCATATACTCGAGAAACAAAAGTAAACCTACAAATATAGCAGATTTTAAAAATATGCATTCATCCTAACTATCTTTCACAATCAATTTGTATATTACAAACGTTCCTAAATGTGACTAGACAAAGTGTACAGAATTAATTTACAAAAAAAATAATTTATGAGTATACATTAAATTAATTTGTATTTTTTAATACAGCGAATGTTATAATAAATATCAAAATTCAATGTTGTTTTACATAAAACCAACAAATATCGAATTTGTATATATATCCACATTCAATTAATTCATAAAAATCATCCTTAAATATTTAACGGGAGATAATTTATGGAATTTACACTCTCCCGCTTATCAAATATAGTATTATTGTCATATTATAATTGTGTGATAATCCTTGTTTGATATAAACCGATTTAACGCCGATTCGAGGATAGAAAAAAAATACAAGTTAATCGGGATACATTTGATGCTAAGTGGAAAGGAAATGTTACTCGGTGAAATTGCTGTTTCAAAGAAATGAGAGAGAGGGAGCAGAGGAGTCGATCTTATGAACTCTTCAATTATATGGTGAAAGTTAATTATATCGAATTAAGTAGGCAAAGAGGTCAGATTTAATTCCGCTTAGTATATATAAATTAATATCTTGTGTTGAAGATTATTATATCATACGCACTGTATGTACATTTCTCTGTTCGGACATCCGATATATTGTACTAACTAAATGTCTGAACTCAATATTCAGTTTCTTCCATATTTCATGGAGTCAATGGGAATAGTGTAACTACGACGATGAGCCAACTATATCGTTATATAACTTGAAAAAATATATACATGAACGCGCTGCTTGTGTAACTTTCTCATTCTGCAAAAAGATTTTACTACGTGCCATTAATAAGACACCATCAAATAATTACATAGTAAAGTCGTTACAGATTCCAGCAAATTGTAAATTCTTATTTTCAGATGAACATTAAATTAAAAAAATAATTCAAAAGCTATTTACTTCTTAATTTGTATATTTTATTATTCTATTCTAAATTTAAAAACCCTAAACTAAATTTAAAAATAGATTTGCTGACGTACTCGTATATGTAGCTTTGTTATTTAGTTCAAAATATATAGGAATATTACAGGATCAACATAAAGAATTGTTTACTATATATAATCTTAGAATCTTGCAAAACTGTTATTATATTATTAACTATTATTATATTGAACGATGCTGCAATAATAGTAGAATTAGAAAAGAAAATATTTGACGTTGATTGATCTGAAATCAATTTGAACCGCGGAAAAAAATATTAATCAGAGAGGAACATTCCTGACATTTTCATGGAGAAAGAGAGAGGAATGTACTTACGACTCTAGACTCGATGTCGAGGCTGTGGTCCCGTCTCCTTTTACCGAGGACTGGTGTGCAAAGGAACATATCCATCGAGCTGCCATCCCTCCTCAAGGAATCCAAACTTCGTACGGCCACTATAGCAGCGAGCTCGTACAACTCCCTTAGAGTCTTCGGTCTCGTGTCCGTCGTGAACAATCCCGTCGATGGTTTATTCGTGACGTGAAAATGCTCCGTCCTCGCCGCAAAAGTACAGATATCCGATTCCGCTGTAACACGAAGAGAATACCAGGCTTTAATGATCGCCTTGTTGCCTAAGAGATTGCAGTCGAACTATTACATGTAGAGTTGCGTGTTTGTCTAATTTCGATCATTTATCCTGATACATTGCATGTAACGATAACATCGCGATAAATTTCTTTTGAGATAATGTCTTCTTTTGGTGTATCATTATACTCCTCTTTCGAATATGTAATTTTTTTATAAATAATATTTATAAAAGTATAAATAGAACATAAACCTAAATTTTATATTCAAATATCCCATAGTATAATAGTACTAATTGAATATAAAACTAAAAAGTCTGTTTTAGATTTACGTATCTTATTAAAGAGAGATAATTGACGAATTATAATATATTCCTTACAGAATACTACTAATACTGGCCAATCTCTTACTGAAAGGTGAACTGTAATTAATTGCTTGTTTAGAGTACTAAAAGCACTAAACAACAGTTTTAATATTAAAAATAAATAATTTATTATTATCTTTCAGCACGTATTAAATTGGCTAGTATTAGATTTCTCTAGAAATTAGATTTTTTTAAGGATTAGTATATTAAATACACGTAGGTAAATATATACAATTTTCTAGAAAAAATGAAGTCTTTTCTAAAAAAATATTTTTAAAAAGAAATAAAAAAGATAAAGATAAGAAAAAATTCCATGAAGAAAGATAAGAAGAAAATTCTATAAAAGGAAGAAAGAAAAAGTGTTATAGGGAAAGATTTAGGTACTAATAAAACAGGAAAAAAAAGAATGTCTCGCGTCTCACGTCGAATTTTTAAGAGGCGCTCACGATCACGCACTTTTTTCTTTACAGACGTTCTATAATATGACATTTTAACTTCTAACACACTTTTTACTGATTATATGCATATGTGATAGGCGGATATCATGCCGCTGACATATCTCTTAACCATAAATATGTTCCATTCATGGTTTCTTGCAGCGTAGCGCACGCAGGCCCCAAGCGTGAAATCAGTAAAAAATCTCATGCCACCCGCGCTCGAGGGGCACGCTTGATTCGACGTTTCCGGTTGTTTTCAGAAACGGTTTCTTCCGTGATGAAGCCAGTGCCTTAATCTCTGACAATAAGATCCTTCCTAATGTTTCCAATTACATGTCTAATACATATTAATTATAAAGTAGCAAATAGTTTATTTGTAAAGAAAAATACTATAATTATAAATTAAAATGAGTAATTGGTGAATTATAGTGCATATCAGTTGCAATGGATGCATAAATTTAAATATATCTTTCTTTAATTTAAGACAAAACTGCGTCTAAAGTGATTTTGATAATTATTATTTGTGTATTTACACATACATATATATTTATTATTCAGTAATTTCTTAATTTTAATTTTTTATCTATGATATTTCATATTCTTAGATATTAGAAGGAAGTTTAAAATGTATTATTTTATACTAAAAGTTTCGCTTATGTAGAATGGCACAAATCGTGCAGACTCACTGTATCCCGGCACATAAACAACATACGAATTACGACACATACACAACATACGAATATTGTGCGACGGATGAGTCATAACGTTTGATTTCTGTTTTTATCGACAACGTGATCGTCGAACAATGAAATCCCGTAAACTTCCACGCTCATGGACAATTAGTTCCGTTATTTGGAAGGAACCTTAATTGCCGACTTTTTTAAATCAATCTTTTGATCTGACAACGCATAACGCATGTACATACGTTTTGTACTGCTATTATCGCATGTTTTTTGTGTTTTCTCTATTGTTTTCGTCATTGTTCACCTTTTGTTTTGCACAATAAAGAAATAGTCACTACCGGTCCAACATGCGGGTCCATATTCCCTATTAGAACTTTATCCCTACAAACTCACCGTATCTAATATTGTTTAATAACATTTATGCTCGATTCATATGCTCGAATTGCCCGAGGTCTGATGGAAAAGCTATTCTAGAATGCGATTTACTTTGTAAAGCTCCGCCTAGAAAACTAATAGCTAATAAATTTGCAATTTTATTATCTCAAGTCAAATTACAATTTACAATTTTATAAATTGATAATTTCAATTTATTAAAATTTCTGTTTATACACAGAGAAATACAACATTTTTTTTTACACAATCCTAAAATTATTAAATTTACGTAAGACAAGAATCATACATATATTTCATTTTAAATTAGTAAATTAAAAAAAAAAAAAAAATTTTATGGTTTTAACTTACAAAAATTGATAAGTTTTTAACGTAGAGTCTAAAAATTTTGTTGCAAAGCGAGCCCTATATCTTTGCTCAATCAATTCTTTGGCTTCCTCGCTCCAAATGGCTTCTGGAATACTTCGGTATTAAGAGAGTTATGCTAACGGTTCATTACAAAGCAAGGTAGTAATATCGCACGACTGCTTCGGGCATTTATGCCATAGTGTATAAACAGAACGATGCGTGTACATGCGGGCCGCGAGAGAGAAAGACTCGCCAGTGTTCTGCCAAGCTGCAGTCCGATTCGATACAATCGTCCATGGAGTATTTCTTACTAACCGTTTGTAACCTCGGAAGCTGATGCACATATAACTACACAGCCGGCACAACTTTCTGCGCGGACGAACGAGGAGCTTCCTCCGTAATGTTCTGCAATCTCATCGTACGCGCGAACAATCAAGACTGGAATCGAAGCTCTCTTTCACCATACAGTTTCTTTTAAAAATTTAGGGTAAGAGCATTAGATGTGGATCAGGCACTAGTTCCGGATTACTTTTCATATTTAAATAATTATATAGAATTTTCCATTTTAAATAAAATATTCACAAGATTCTTTAGCATTTGTTTTATCTCTTTCTCAAATCACTAAGAAAGAGATAAAACAGAGAGATTCAATTGAATTTAATTTATTAGGAACAACGCTACACATTATATTGATGTCGTTAACTAATTAAATGTGCAAGGTTAACTAATGTATGTATCTTTAAAAATTCATTCAAAGTGTAATATCATAATTGCCTTATAGCTTTTAGAGTAGGTATAGTAAATAGCATTAGATTTCATGGAAAAAATCAATGTTATACTCAGTTGAGATTAAATATATCCGCGGATTTAATATAACGATACTTTTAATGCGTAAATTTATTATAAAAATGTTTAAAAATTTGTTAAATCTTACAAATGATGCTATCCTGAAAGATTTATTTATTTTAAGAATCGAAATAGAATAAAAAATAGTATGTCCATTTGCAAAGAGTATTAAATATTATTCATAATTTAATCGCTTTTTTTTGCTAAACGTTTAATTTTCATTAATGTTTTTTAATTATCATTGATTTTTAATTGTCACTAATTTAAAATAAATTTGAATGTATTAAAATTGCATCATGATCCAAAATAAGACCTTAGAATTAGATGTGAATCATCAGTCATAATTTCATTATCTACAGGGTGTCTCAAAAAGGTCGAGACACCTGAATATCTCGGAAAATATAAGTTTTATAGAAAAGTGTTTCAGGATTTGAAAAATTATAGGATTTAAAAAGATCTACTATTTACTAATCTTATCAATTTGATCTTTGGTGGCGTCGCCAAGATCAGGTCAAGATTACATCAATTTTTTTTAAATGAAATATATTTCTTATTTTTTATTCCAGAATCTAATAGCTGATGTTGAGAGCTTTCCAAAACACTATAATAAAGTTATTTTTTATAAAATACTTTTTGTAAAAAAAATTATAAGGCTTGAAAGTTACAGTGCCGTCAGCATTAGCATTACGTAAGGTGTCCGACCGAATATTGTTCAGAATCATGTCCTAAGGTAACATTTGTATACGGTACTGTAACTTTCAAGCCTTATAATTCAAAAAGTATTTTATGAAAAATAACTTTATTGTAGTATTTTGGAAAACTCTTGACATCAGCTATTAGATTCTGGAATCAAAAGTAAGGTGTTTCAATAAAAAAAATCAATGTGACTTTGACCTTGGCGACACCATTCAAGGTCAAATTAATAAAATCAATAAATAGATCTCAGAACTAAGATTAATGATTTTGCCACATTTCGTAAAAAGTAGTAGGGGAAAGTGAGGGAATTAAGCGAATTTAAGGGGATCCTAAAGTGAAGCCTGAACTCAGACGAAGTCATCAAAGATCACTGTTTTTCCAACGCATCGACATATCTTTATATACTAAGTACCGCAACAATATCTCACGCAATCTATGATACACGCAGTCGCATGTTTGTGTCAATTTTCGTATAATAAATTCATCGCAATAAAGCGTCTAATTCTAAGAACTCGACGTTATTTGTTCGTGCAAACTACGTGCCTGGATTACTATTTTGTAAGTACAGGTTGCAAAACTTTTGTATCAAACAAATGTTGTCACGACTTAATAACTTAAGACGCCATATTACATTAATTGTAAGAAATGATAAAAAATATATCAATTTCGAAATTTTTGATCGTTCTCGGCATAAACTCCACCTTACAGACACGTATTAGTGCGTGTACTTTAATGCGTGTACCTAAAAAAGGATTTTCAAATCAGTGAAAAAGAAAAAAAGTATTTATTGTATAAAAATTATATGATTTAGTCGGTAATACAGACGATTTTAGGATCCGCTTAAAGGGAATTCATTGTTGCGATGTGATTTTTGAAGCTGAAGCTTCAATATAAACACGGAAATACAAATTATAAACATTCTTCTGTCGATATGTATTCTCATATTGAACAATTAGTCATCTGATAACGTTGTATTTGACAATGTTACAAACGTGACAAAAAGTAAAAAAAGCAAATAAATTTTTCGCGCGTCGGATAATTGTGCGCAAAATAAAAATCGTAAGAAATTAATATAAAATTAATGAAATAAATACTTCATGGAAAATGTTTTATGGATTATTGATGAGAAAATGGAAATATGTATTATTACCAACGTTTTTACCAAAATTAATACAAACTTTGAAAAAATAATATAAAAATTAATTATTTAAACAAGATCGCATATGCAATTTCAATGCATATTCTCAATATCATCAGCTCCATTGCATTCTTCTGGATCCATATAGAACACACAGGCAGCATTGAAACCACCCAGTCAATACAAACTCAAAATAACATAATGTCAATATTATAATTTCGCACTCGACAATGTAACTTTGTTATGTAACACCATGCATGCGTAATATTACATTTATATTGTGAATACGAAATTACAACATTGATATCATGTTACTTTTAGTTTATCGACTAGCCATAGTTCCATATCTTTCAAATTCTTCGCAAGTTAGTGCACTTTTCATTGGGAGCAAACTTTAAATTGTCCATGCGCACAATTTCTCGCCGTGAATTGATTTGATTAAAAAAAAAACGATTACCCAAAGACGTTTTAACTTAATTAAATGAATAATAGTTCAATAACGTACATAATAACCTACTTTAATGAGGTATGCACAATTAAATAAACAAAATAAAAATACGGACTTATCTTCCTTATTTTTTGAATATCAAAATTACTATCAAAATACATAATTTCACCTTTTGTCACTTTTGCTGTTAATTAAATTTTCAAATTATATAACTTATGGTTATATCTGAAAAGAATTACGTTCTAGCCTAGAAATTTCGTCACAGTAACGGCCCCATTTATTGGAAAAGTGCTAAATCAAAATGTGCATTACCCGCTACGCACAATTATACTACTTTTCCCAATATATATCTACATATATATATAAAAATTATTTTGACATTGAAAAAGGAAGATAGAGTAAAGTAAGTCGTATGAAATATATTCAAGAGGTATTTAACGATGCCGTTCGTAAAAATCAATGAACGACAGAAGAAAATTTGTAAATATTAATGAAAATTTCTTTAAAAATTTTTAACATTTTATTAAATCTATCTTCTTTCTATTTTCTGAATTTTTTTTCTTTATTTTGATAATTTTCATATCTATGGTCAATCACTGTCATTTTTCTGTTCAATAACTATAAAACTTATGGTCAATAAATATC